CCCCGCCGTGCCCTGCAAAGCCGGGCGCCTCGGGACCCTCCGGAGGGCGAGCTCGCCCCCCGGGTCTCCTGACCTTGGGTTGTGTAACCTGTTACTACCGAGCGGCGGTCCGGGAGAGCACGGGGGGTGGAGGAGGGTTTGCCGGCGATCACGGGGGGTGGAGGGAGGCCGGGTCAGCCCCGGGCACCTATCGAATAATGCCTTAAGCTGGAGCAAAGCAAGCTGGGGGCCCCGGCGCTCGCACCCCGGCGGTCACCCGCGGCGGCGACAACGGGACGTCGCGCGCGCGGAGAATGGGATCGCGCGTACGAGGGTGCAGTTGGTGCTGAGGATGCGTGGACCCGGCGGCGGTGACACCGGCTGCACGGGCTCCGCCGTGCTCCTCGGGGCGCCAGGGCCACCAGGGTGGCGGAGGAACCGGCGTGGTCCGGTTCATTGAGAGGCGGACCAATGAGCTCCCGGGCCCCTCCGGGAGCCTGGCCCCAGGGTGTGGACCAATGGGCGTTTTAGGAATGTTGGCTGCGCCGTGCAACCGTCTTCTGACAAAAAAGCGAGCGGAGAATCCCGGCGGCCACGTGCTGCCGAGACTTTAAGGTACCCTGGGAAACGCAGTTCCTACTAGTTGCTGCGGAGGTTCCCATTGTAGGGGGAAGTGTAGCCTGAGGCGTTACGGTCTCCGTTTTCAAGTCCCATTTGCCGTGTGTGCCGTTTTCAGTGGTCGTTAATCTTGTAATAACCACGGAGAAGCTTATTCCCCTCACAAATGGAAAACTGGTGGTTGTGATGGGCTCCTCACAAAGCTAGTGCTACCAGGATTCTTTCCTAGAAAATCTTGGTACGAAGTGAATGACGGGGTGCGGTAGGAAATTGCAAGAAAGAGCATTTGGAAGCCCAAAATAATCTGTGACACCTATAATAGAGGGAAAATGTTGTTGTCCCCAAATTCTTAGTCTAAGATGCCAGAATGGGACTCTAGAAATGGCTCGGCAGACAGGAGCACTGGATGCTCTTCCAGAGGACCCGGATTCAATTTCCAGCACCCACATAGCAGCGTACAACCCTCTGTAACTCTGGTTCCAGGGCATCTGACGCCCTCTTCTGGCTTCTGCGGGCACTGCACACGTGGAGCACAGACACATGTAGGCAAAACGCCCATACAAATAAACGTGTGCCTGTGAAGTGTCTCCTGGGTAAAGGAGAGGGGCCTTTTAAAAAAGACAGTTGCTTCCTTTAACTGTTTGAAAACCGCATATACTTTGTGTGTAACCAAGTAACTGAAATTTACTGTTTCTGTGTGATACAGTCTTAAGCACTACTCTACAGCTAACCTTAAGCAAGTAGTATCTGAAATCTGTTCGAAAGAACTGAAAGTTCACTATTTTTCACTGACTGAAAAAATAAAGAAGCTGTGCACTGGTTGTTATTTACTCTGAGGCTTTTAAAGAAGGATCTGAAAAAAAGTATGTGGTAGGTAAACCTACCTAGTCAGTGGCTTAACAAGGAGTCTTGTGGGAGTCCTAAACCATTTCTGAAATGGAAACAATTACTGTGGGGTAATGGGATTAAATAAACTGATATTTACAGTAGTTAAGTGTTGACAGTTTTGATGTTTTATTTTATTTTTATTTATTTAATTTTTTCGAGACAGGGTTTCTCAGCGTAGCTTTGGAGCCTGTCCTGGAACGCATTCTGTAGCCCAGGCTGGCCTCAAACTCATAAACTCACAGAGATTCACCTGCCTCTGCCTCCTGAGTGCTAGGATTAAAGGCCTGTGCCACCACCGCCGGGCGATTTTTTGTTGTTGTTGTTTTGTTTTGGTTTTTTTTTTTTTTTTGAGACGAGTTTCTCTGTGTAGTCCTGGAACTTGCTTTGTAGACCAGGCTGGCCTCGAACTCAGAGATCCACCTCCCTCTACCTCCTGGGTGCTGGAATTAAAGGCAAGTGCCACCACCAAGTTCTTTTTATCCAGACTTTCAGCCCACTTTTCAACAAAGTAAACTTTCAGAGTTTTGTGTTTGGAATACAGTTTTCCCCATGTAGCTTTGGCTGGCCTGGAACTCACTATGTAGACCAGGCTGGTCTTACAAGTCATTAAACTGTGTTGTATTGAATAATATTTGATAATCAGAAAGTCCTTACATGTCATTGCTGGAAATACTGCCTTCAATAGCTATGGAAATGTGAGCAGACAGGAAGCTGAAGTTGGAAGATGGGCAGACCAGTTAAATACAGAAGCAGTCTATGTTTGAAGCATCGTGAACATAAGCCTGCAGAAAGAATGAAGAATAGATATCCTAGTATCTACAGAGGTGCCCTGCCTTTTAGAAATAAGGGTTGCTTTTTCACACCTTCTGCAAGAAGCAGGGGAACATCTTAAACAACATAACCAGGCCTGATCATTTTAAGAAAGATCCAGTTGGTTTATGTGTGTTTGCCAGCAAAAGCAGGAAATATATCTCCATATAAGGACTTAGGAATTTTAATAGCAGTTTTGTGATAAACTCCCAAACTGGAAACAGTTCTTCTGGGGGGGGGGTGAAGGGGGGTGGTTAGGAATTGGTGGCGTACATCTTTAATAAAATAAAGAACAAATGGATAGTTGTAAATCATACAACAGAGTGTTACCCAGCGATAAATGATAAATGAGCCATTGATATATACAACACATGAGTAATGATGAAAACAGATGGACTGGAGGCCTTGACAAAGGGAAGGATGGATTGCAAAGGGGTGTGAATGTGCTGCTGGGTATTGTGGCACGTGATCTTAATCTTATCCTGGAGGCAGAGGCAGGCAGATTGATGCCTTGTCTACAAAAGCAAGATGAGTTTCATCCCAGAAACCCACATAAAAGTTGCTTTAATCCCAGCACTCGGAGGCAGAGGCAGGCGGATCTCTGTGAGTTCAAGGCCAGCCTGGTCTACAAAGTGAGTTCCAGGAAAGGTGCAAAACTACAGAGAAACCCTGTCTCGAAAAACCAAAAGAAAAAAGGAAAAAAAAAAGAGTTGTCCTCTGACATACACAAGTACATCATGGCATGCATGCTAGATAGGCATACACAATAATGGTAAAATTGGATGGGTGTGGTGATATGTGCCTTAATCCTGGGGCTCAGGTGCAGAGGCCATGTATCTTTATGAGTTTGCAGCTTGCCTGGTCTGCAAAGTGAGATTCCCAGCTTCTTCCCCCCCACCCCCCATCAATCCTGTATCTTTTTGGCGATGCTCCTTATAGGAAGTAACTTTGGATTCATTAATCTTTTTCTTTCATTTTGTTTTGTTTTGTTTTTTGAGGTGGTGTCTTAATCTGTATGTAGCCAGGCTCTGTTAGGATTTCAGCTGAGGTGCTCACCTGGAATCAGAAAAATGGGGCATTAGGATTTCAGGGGCCTTGGGGTTAGTCTAGGCATGAGTGAGACCCTATCTCAGAAAACAAATGGATCTGGGAAGATAGCTTACAGTTAGCCCAGGGCTAGGAACTGAACTTGATTCCTCTGACCCAGTAAAGAACCCTAGGGAAGCTGGGACAGGTAAGAGGCAGACATACTCCTGAATTGTCACCTGGCTACTACATGCATGTCCACACATACTGGTGTGCACACGTTAAGTTTAGTTTATTGGTAATAATTTTCCCTGGTAGCTTTTGTGATGCCCTATTTTAAATATCTTTGCTAATCTCAATCTGGGGAAGATGTTTTCCCATAAAGGTTTTACATCGCTTCATACTGATACAAAACTCACCTGAAAGTGATTTTTGTGTATGGTGTGAGCGAATAGAATAGACCCTTTAAGCAAAAAGGATTTGTCTTTCCAGGCTTTAATGCCGAGACAGTGCAAACTTATTTTTTGGAGACAGGGTTTTTTACATAGTCCTGGAGCTCACTATGTAGACTAGGCTGGCCTTTGAACTACAGAGAACTTCCTGCTTCTGCATACTGAGTGCTGGGACTAAAAGCCTGTGCCACCAGGCCTGGCTCCTGAGTTCCTCCAATTTCCGACCCGCCTCATTCCTCTAATGGCCCCCCCTTCTTGTTGTTGGAGGTAGTCACACCTCAGCCAGAACACTCCGAGCTCCCTTCTTAGTTGACTGTTGCCGTGTTGAGTTGTGGTCACTTAGACAGGAGGAATTCACAGTGCATTGCCAGAGAACCTTTGAGTTGGATCCGTGGCTGCCCACACCAACTCTTGTTGTAGTGCTGCACTGTTATTACACGTGTTTCTTCCTGTAGGGCAGAGGGCAACCAACCAAAGTCAGTTCTTTTCCATCTCGTCTTCCCCCTCCCTCCCGTGGTTCTGTGGGTCAAACTGGGTACTATAATACACCGAGTCATTCTGTTGCCTTTAAGCTATCTATCTTAAGCATACATACACTGAATAAAGTAGCAGCAATAGAGAAAACAGTACAGTTAAATTTGGAACAATTTATTTAGATGTTTGTGTGCATGCGTGCACACATGCATGTGCCCTTGGAGGCCAGAAGAGAGCATCAGATCCCCTGGAGCTGGGGTGGAAGCAGTTGTGAGCAGCCATGGTAAATAGTAAATGCTGTGTTTGGTTACTTTTGACACAAGGTCTACCTTGGGTTAGTAGTGACCTGAGTATAAGAGTCTCAGAAACAGACCATAGTAAAGCTGTGTGCTCACTAATTTAGTAGCTTCTGTTGAATTTTAAACAGTGACTGGGTAAACTGAACTTTGAAACCAGCCATTTTTGCTTAGGAAGTGATATGAGTGTAACCATAGATTAAAATCTCTGGCTGCCTTTCTCAGATAGTCTCTGGCAACAGAATCTATGTGGCTCTCCTCTCGGCCCCTGATTTCATTCAGTGTAGTTCAAATAGTTTTTATCTTGTGAATCGGGTGCCGTCGTCCCTCTGCGGGCACCAGGCTGTATGCTGTGCACAGGCACACATGCAGCAAAGTGCTCGTACACAAAATAATAAAAATCTCTTTTAAAAACAGTCTGTAGCCCCGGGCCGTGGTAACGCACACCTATAATCCCAGCACTCGGGAGGTGGATCTCTGTGAGTTCAAGGCCGGCCTGGTCTACAGAGTGAGATCCAGAACTACACAGAGAAACCCTGTCTCAGTCTGTAGCTTATGTATACCTAAAGCAGTGTAAAAATAAAGAATAATGATGTGGTAGATGTGGGTGTTGGGAATTAAACCCAGGTCTTCTATAAGAGTAGGCAGTACTCTCAACCACTGAACCACCTCTCCAGCTCCTCTTCTGCCTTTTTAGCTTGTGTGGACTTGACTGGGGTGGAGTGGTAGAGTATTTGTGACTGTTCAATGTTAATATGCTCCTGGTTCAAGCGTTTGATGGGGTTTCTTTCTTTTTTTTTTTTTAAGCTATTGTAAGTTATGCTGAGAGTACAGTGTTCTAAACCACTGTGGAAATCAGTGTGGCGGTTTCTCAGAAAATTAGGAAACGAACTACCTCAAGACCCAGCCATCCCACTCTTGGGCATATACCCAAGGAATGCTGATTCATACCATAAAGATACATGCTCAGCTATGTTCATAGCAGCACTATTTGTAATAGCCAGAACCTGGAAACAGCCTAAATGCCTGTCAGCTGAAGAATGAATGAAAAAGATGTGGTACATATACACAATGGAGTACTACTCAGCAGAGAAAAACAATGAAAGCATGAAATTTGCAGGCAAATGGGTGGAACTAGAGAGTACAGTGTTCTAGACCTAACTTTCATGTGTGGGGGTTCTATACAGTTTTCCATAACTGCTGTTCACTTTCACTTCGAAGAAAGAGCTAGGACTGGAATTCAGCCTTATGTATGCTAGGCAGGCACTGAGTATCATCTTGTGGCTAGTTTATTTGAGACAGCTGTGCAGTCTGGGCCTCTCCAGTGCTAGGTTATAAGTAAGCATAGTCACAGGTGCTGAGTACAGCACACAGCTTTGTCTAGTTCTAGTTAGTAAGAGACAACTGAACTGTGCTTCCTCCATTCTAGTATCCCAGCATGCTTCTTCCTCAACTCACAGTGATGTTCAAAGTAGTCAGTACTTCTCTCATGGAAACACTGACGTAAAAGTCTTAACCAAATGATTATGAAGGTACATAATGCCTTATTAGAACCTACAGTGATCTATTCATATATAGTATTTGGGGTTTTTTTTTTTTCCTGTGGTTTTTTTTTTTTGTTTTTTTTTTGGGGGGGGTCTACTAGAGGCAGAACTGATTAGTTTAAGAACATTTATCTGCCTTGAAATAATTATCTCCTAGCTTTACAAGAAGGTGTGCTGACTTTTTTTAAAGAGAAAAAGTTTTATTGGTGTCCACGTGATAGGAAGACAACAAAGCTTGTTGGCAAGGCATTTCTGAGTTGGCTGTTTATCTGTTTAGAAAGTCAGTCCAGTGGAGTCGGTAATGATGGTTGAAGATGTGTGCTTTATCCCTAACCCTGCACTAAGATTACTAGCCTATAGTAACTATTTCACCAAATGGTTCTGTTTGGTAAGTCTTGGCATTACAGATTTGGGGTGGGGGGTTGGTTTTTTTTCAAGACAGGGTTTCTCTGTGTAGCTTTGCGCCTTTCCTGGAACTCACTCTAGTCTAGGCTGGCCTCGAACTCACAGAGATCCTCCTGTCTGCCTCCCGAGTGCTGGGATTAAAGGTGTGCGCCACCACTGCCCGGCGATATTACGGATTTTAAACATAGCATTCAAACTGATAGTCAACAAAGCCAACCCTTTAAAGGATACTTTCTCGTTGACTTAGTTCAGTGTTTCTTACTTGGGGACAGTTGCTACCCAGGAGACATGTGGCAGTATTTGGAGATGTTTTTGGTTGGCACAGCTGAAGACTGGGGGTGCTTCTTCTGGCCTGTGAGTGGGTAAAGGCCAAGGACATTTGTCTGTAGCCTGTGCAAAGAAGAACTCAACCCCCAACAAGGAAGTGTATGGATTAGAATGTAAGTATTAGTAAGTATATTGAAGTAACTGCTAAAGATACCACCCCCCCCCCAAAAAAAAAAAGCTGAGTTGTGGTGGTGCATACCTTTAATCCCAGCACTTGGGAGGCAGAGGCAGGTGGGTCTCCGAGTTCAAAGCCAGCATGATAGAAAGTGAGTTAGGACAGCCAGGGCTACACAGAGAAACTCATCTCAAAACAAAAAGATCATGATTAAGAAAGGACCGTCTCCCTCCCTGCCCCGAAGAAATACATACTCTTTGCTTATGATAGTAAATGGAGAGGTTGGAGAGATGACTTCCTGGTAAAGAGCAATGGCTACTCTCCCAGAAGACACAGGTTGGATTTCCAGCCGCCCATGTGGCCACTTAGAACCATCTGTAGCTCCCATTCCCAGTGATGTGATGGCCTCTTTTGGCCTCTGGGCACTATACACATGTCTTATGCAGACATATGTGGGCAGAATATCCTACACACATAAAATAAATACTTTCAAGTTGAAAAGGGAAGGGAAATGGCCAGTGTGGTGTGGTGCACTCTTTAATCACAGTGCTGGGGCAGACAGAGCTGAGTTGGAGGCCAGCCTGTGTACATGAGCCAGGGCTACCCAATGAAACACTGTCTCAAATAAATAAATGAGTTAAATGGCCCTAGTTACTGTGTCAGATTTTCTGTTTAAAATCTATCTTAAGAGACTAGAAATATAACTCAGTAGAGTGCCTCTCACGGACCAGGTTCCATCTCTAACAACGGAGGACAAAGGTGGTCTTAAAGAATAAAGTCTGGTAGAAATAGTCCTGTTGCTAATTGTGGGTTTTGTTGAATGACAGATCTGAGTGGGATGTCCTTTTGAAGGATGTGCAGTGCTCAATCATAAGTGTGACAAAGACTGACAAGCAGGAAGCTTATGTACTCAGGTGAGTCCTGATTGTAGCCATGGGTGAGACAAGCCACACTCTCCTCTCATGGAATCTGTGTTTTTCAGGGGTTTTTTGTTTTGTTTTTGGTGTTTTGAGAAATGGTTTCTCTGTGTAGTTTTGGTTCCTGTCCTGGATCTCGCTCTGTAGACCAGGCTGGCCTTAAAAATAGGTGCAAGGTTGGCTTAACCAATAAATGCTTTGAATGCTTAGTTTATACTGTGGGCATTGGGCCTTACATTAAATAACATGCATAATATATGGCTATATCTTTAACTAAGTCTGTGTTTAGCATGCGCAAATGTTGGTCAATGCTTAGTGTGCACCATGCCAAGTATATAATGATGTACAAAAACATTGATTTCCTCACAAAGCTTGTTATCTAGTTAAAGATGAAAAAACACAGGAGAGCAGTGGTGTCCAAGAGGAGGTAAAATCTGTTACTTAGGAAATAGTGGTGAGCATACAATACCAGCCGTACTGGGTTAGACTGTGGTGTGTGGTGTCCAGACATAAGAATGAATATGAAATAAAACTAAATAATATTCACTCTAAAGAAAAAAATAAAATCACACAATTGCAGGAATATGAAGTGCTTGGAATGTACTACAAGATAACACAGTCTCAGGGTTAATGCATGTACTCCCACATGCAGAACCTAGCCAATAGGTTTTTGTGTGTGTGTGTGTGTGTGTGTAGAAGAGAGACTGAGAGGCTAAATATTAGGAGATATGAGGAGTGACTGAATGTAGGTTATGGGCATGAGCTATGAAAGGATATAAAGCTAATAGTTTTTCTAGTTCTAATTTTGTGCATATAATGTACGTCCAAAGGTGATGTAAAAATTACAGATATTGACGTGCTGGTGCATTGATTGTATTTTCAGTGAACATGCTGAGTGATGATCCTGTGCCTTTCTGTTGCAGTGAGAGTAGCATGTTTGTCTCCAAGAGACGGTTCATTTTGAAGACATGTGGTACCACCCTCTTACTGAAAGCACTGGTTCCCCTGTTGAAGCTTGCTAGGGATTACAGTGGGTTTGACTCAATTCAAGTAAGTGCTCAGACACAGTGTCAAGAGTGGTTTCTGTTTGGGTTGGATTTTAATATTTTACCTCAAAGAAAGAAATGTCATTAAAATCTCGGAAGTTTGGTTTCTTTGCACCTGTGGTTGGGACTGAACCCAAACCAAGGCTTCACATATGCTAGTCAAAAGTTCTGTCACTACACTGCCTGCCCTGCTGATGCTATCTGGGGGCATACCCCAGGCTTGCCTCAAACTCAGTTCTCTTGCCTCTTCTTCCAGAGTTCTGGAATTACAGATTCATGTTACCATACTCAGCCTATTTTGGAGGGTGGGAAATGGGGGATCTGGCTTTGGAGCCCTGGCTCGTCTCTAATTTACACTGTTGTAGAATATTATTTTAAGATGTGTTTATGCTGTGGAACATTTAATGATGTAAAGTGTGTTGCATTCTTTTATGTTGCATTTGTTTGTTTAACTCTGTGAAGCTGTGTTACTGTGCCTGTCTAAAATACCTGGTGGTTTAATAAAGAGCTGAATGGCCAATAGCAAGGCAGAGAGAAGATAGAGAAGGAGAAGTCTGGGAGAACAAGAGCAAGAGAAAAGAAGGAAGAGGTGCAAGGAAAGATGGGGCCAACCCCAGAGTAAGAGTGAGAGTAAGATTACAAAAGTGAGAAAAGGGAAAAGGCCCAGAGGCAAAAGGTAGATGGGATAGTTTAAGCTAAAGAAAGCTGACTGGAAACAAGCCAAGCTAAGGCTGGGCATTTGTAATTAATAAGCCTCTGTGTGTGATTTATTTGGGAGCTGGGTGGTGGGCCCCTCAAAGGAGTAAAAGCAAACAACACTATTACATTCTTGCTTTGGTGTCCTTGGTACTAAGATTAAAGCTGTGAAACGTCACACCCTCCCACTAGTGCAGTTCTGATAATACTCAACTGTCCTTGTAAGAAATCTAAAACACTTAAGCACTTAAGAGTGTTGACTGACTTGAAAAACAATTGCCATGCAAGCCTGACATCTTGTTTTATCCCCAGAACCACAAAAGGCAGGAGAGAAATGACTACAGGTTGTCCTCCGACCTCCACATGCTCTTGGTGCTTGTACACATGTGTATGAATGTGTGTGCCATGTGTGCCCAGTGCCCAGGGAAGCCAGACTAGGGCATTGGATTCCCTGGGGCTGGAGTTTAGAGCGGGTTTGTGAGCCTCCGTGAGTGCTGGGAGTCACATGGAGGTAGAGCCCTTGAGAGGAAGCACTTTGCCAGGAAGAAGTGTGTTTTGTGCTTCTGACCCATTGATAGACGTGGTGTTTTTTATTCTATTCCAGCTTAAAAAGGACGTTGCAGTTGTGAAATTGTGCATATTATTGTCGTTCTGGTGGCTAATTTGTGTGCTTCACAGTCACACCTTGAAACATTTGTAAAGTTTTTATTTTGTTGTCTTTTCTACATATAGAAAATTGATTTAGAGAAAAATTCCTAAAGATCTCTTTCTCTCTCTTTTAAGAGCTTCTTTTATTCTCGTAAGAATTTCATGAAGCCTTCTCACCAAGGGTACCCACACCGGAACTTCCAGGAAGAAATTGAGTTTCTTAATGCAATTTTCCCAAGTAAGTAAAAATAGAGCGTAGTAATTCTAATCTGTTAAAGTTAGGTATACAGCCATTTAAAGATGGGTGGGTGTTTTTGTTTTTGTTGCCATTTCTGAGACAGGGTCCCATGATGTAGCTAGCCCTTGGTGGTCTGGGGCTGGCCTGGAACTCCATCATTGTTTGGATTGTTTGCTACTGGAAGTGTGTGTGTGTGTAAATGTGGTGCTATTTTAATTCTGTGCTTTTTTTTTTTCTGTATATCTGGATGTTTAAAGATTTTGGGCAAATTTTGCTTGTGTGGGTAACAGTACAAGTTGTATTGTGCGCTTGTAAAAAAAAATAATGTCAGTGCTGCTAAGGTAGACAGAATGTCATTGGGAAGCAAAGCCTTTATTCCTGGTTAGTAAGTCGACTGAAGAGCCCTTGAGCCTAACATTCAAGGCCAGTCTGGGCCAGATAGTGAAAACTTGTTTCAAAAACACCAGCTGGGGTGAAATAAGGTGGGTGGTTCTAAACCTAAGATATCTTCATAACTTTGCAAAATCACTTACAGGAATGGATTTAAAGGTAAAAATCCTGTGGGCAAGGTATGTGTAGCTCACAAATAGTGGTGAATGCATACTTAGCGTGTATGAGGCCCTGAATTTGATCTTCAACACTTCAAGAAATAAAAAGACTTCATGTATTTACCCGTAATTTATGACTTCAAACACTAGGTGCTGCCAGAAAGTGGTGGATATTTACTTGGTGTCATTTCCTAGTTGATGTGCTGTGCTAAGGGAAATCTTAAAACAGTTTGGGAAGGGATATGTAAGTAAAACAGCTTATGAGTTAGAAGAAGAAGAATAGAAAAGTAACCAATTCTCTGCCTGTGAGAGTTTTAGGAAGAAGGTGAACTGTAATTTCTCAACCATTTAGGTCCGTCTGTATTTCAGGAGTGTCAGTGGCAGCCAGAAGAGAAATGGGTAAGAGCAGAAGGGAGGCACTGAGGGATTTAAGCCTTTGCTGCTCTTCCAGAGGACCTGGTGCCCACAGAGTGATGGGTCTGACCTGTGAGCACAAAGTACCATGTGCTACCAGCAAACTATACACATACAACAAACCTTTTAAAAAGAGCACTGAGAAGATCGGTTTTTTTTCTTCTTCGAATTTACCCACTTTAATTTCTCTTCACTGATGACATTTTTAATAGGTGGCGAATAAAGCTGTTCATTGGATAATTGATAATGAACCATCCTGTTAAGTGGATTTTTAAAAATATTCTCTTTCCTTACAGATGGAGCAGCATATTGTATGGGACGTATGAATTCTGACTGTTGGTATGTAATCTTGATCTTGGTTTGGTTTTGTTGCCTGTGTGTGGGTTTTGGAGGGAACAGGGGTATTGTTTTAAGCTAGACCTGGTAGCCCATGCTTGTTAATCCTAGCTACTCTGAAGGCTGAGGTAAGAGGAACAGGGCCAGTAAAGACAGTATAGTGAGACAAAAGGAAAAGGATGGGAAGTGTAGTTCAATGGTAGAGAGTGTTTGAATTCATTGCTTATATCTGTATTCCTGGGTATTCAGGGTGGTTAAGCGCCATCAGGTGTCCCTGGCTTTTCTGTTAAGGTTGGGGGCTCGTGAAACCCCCACTTCCGACTCAAGGCTAGAATGTTACCTGGCTTGATCTGATACAGTAGCCACAGCTGCTATAAGGTTTTTAAGTATGCCCATTGTGAGAGAGGGGGGCCTGGGCTTCTTTTGGCTTTTTGAGACAGGGTTCTTCTGTGTAGCCCTAGCTGTCCTGGAACTTGCTCTGTAGATCGTCCTGGTCTCGAACTCACAGAGATCTGCTTGCTTTTGCCTCCCAAGTGCTGGGAGTTTGCCACAACTGCCCTGCTGGGTATGGGCTTCTTGAAAGAATCAATGTAAGGCTCATTCTAATCTGTAAGCTCTGTTGAAGCTAAGCTGCTTTAACTTCTATGTAGGTACTTGTATACTTTGGATTTCCCAGAGAGCCGAGTAATCAATCAGCCAGATCAAACCCTGGAAATTCTGATGAGTGAGCTCGACCCAGCAGTTATGGACCAGTTCTACATGAAAGATGGTGTTACTGCAAAGGATGTCACTCGTGAGAGTGGAATTCGTGACCTGATACCAGGTTCTGTCATTGATGCCACACTGTTCAATCCTTGTGGCTACTCGATGAATGGGATGAAATCGGATGTAAGTAAATAGAATCTTCAATGATGTTTTAATATTTATATCTTTCCTTTCTATTACTACTAATAATACAACTTTTCTCAAAGGGAACATATTGGACTATTCACATCACTCCAGAACCAGAATTCTCTTATGTTAGCTTTGAAACAAACTTAAGTCAGACCTCCTACGATGACCTGATCAGGAAGGTTGTGGAAGTCTTCAAGCCAGGAAAGTTTGTGACCACCTTGTTTGTTAATCAGGTAATTTGACTTCTGTTTTCTTTATCCTTTCAGCCACACTAGAACTGAATCCATGCTAGGCACATGCTAGGCAAGCACTTCCCAGCCCAACTAATGTGGTTGCTAGGAGTAATAAAGCCTTGAAGTAAATGGGATAACAGGGATCGCCACAAGACATGCTGTCGGGTGACAGCTGTACCTGGTTACTGAGCTGTATATACTGCAGTGCCATTCCCAGGGGTTTCTGTGGGCGGAGAAACCTTGCACATTTCATTAGCTTTTCAGTAGTCTGTTTTGTGTGGTACCCAGTTAGCAAGCTCTTGTTGTACTGATGATCCCTGTTGACAGCCTGGTCAGAGACTATAAGATGCCCACAGAAAAAAGAAAATGCCAGTTTGGGGCTGGAGAGAGCTCAGTAGTTAAGAGCACCTTCAGCAGGAGACCCAAGTTCAGATCTCAGCACCCACACCAGCTGGCTCACAAAACGCCGGAATGCCAAGGAGTCGTACATCCCGTCTGGCCACACACACACACACACACACACACACACACACACACACGCATTAAATAAATAAAATCTTTATTATTTAATGTTTGATTAAGATAGTCATCCATTCGTGGCATTACTGTTTTGTCTGAAAGTAATCTAGAGATTGGAAGTACTAATGTTTGTTTCCATTTTTCCCCAGAGTTCTAAATGTCGCACAGTGCTTTCTTCCCCCCAGAAGATTGAAGGTTTTAAACGTCTAGATTGCCAGAGTGCTATGTTCAATGATTACAATTTTGTTTTTACCAGTTTTGCTAAGAAGCAGCAACAACAGCAGAGTTGATTAAGAAAAATGAAGAAGAAAAAACGCAAAAAGAGAAGACACACAGGAGGTGGTGGCTGCTTTCTAGATGATGACACTGGGGGCTGTGCTCTCCATGACCACCACCTTGTAGTTGCAGAAAGCCCTAGGTCTATTGATAGTGTAATCATTTTGAAGTGTATGCATTATTATATCAAGGAGTTAGGTATCTTGCATGAATGCTCTCCTCTGTGTTTAGGTGTTCTATGCCACTCTTGCTGTGGAATTGAAGTGCATGTAGAAAAGAACTTTGACTGTATGAATCCTTACGACACTTGTGAAAATGATTCAATTTGGTTTATGCACAGTGTAATATTTCTGCAGGCATCGTCCAAAATCCCCCACAGACAAGGCTTTCGTCCTCATTAGATGCTGGCCTCAGCTGACCATCTGCGACTGTTCTATTAAATTGCTGCCAGAGTTTTTACATCCAGTTACCTCCACTTTCTAGAGCATATTCTCTACTAATGTTATTCAAGACCAATTTTTACTTCATACAGGTGTTTTATGCAATGGCAATTAAAGTTTTTCTTCCACAAGTTGAGTCCTTGTAAGAAAATGCTGATTCGGGTTACTGTTTTGTGTTCTACTGTTTGAATAGTTGTTCCTGCTTTTATAGTCCTGTGATTGATTTCTTAGACTCTCACCACGGTGTCTTTTCCTCTTCCCTCAACTCACTGCTCCCCCATTAAAGCAATACACGGTTACACAGGGCTTATATAGTAATCTTATACCCAGGTGGGATGTTTGAGGTGGTCCCTGGCTTGATTTTTTTTTTAAGACATAAGAATGGGGCCTCCTTATTGGCATGAACTGTGGAAGATAAATGACAAAGCTGAATGTATTAAATGAAAAGAATTCGGTCTCCAGGGGTGATTAGCAGAGAGAACCCATTTAAAAAAAAAAAAAACAACTCATTGGAACTAGTCAGCTGTGCGGTGCACTTTTGGCTTTAACGGAGCACCTGCCATGCCTTTACTAACTTATTAAGTAGTGACCAGAGGAAGTCCACTAAATCGAAGCAGATATTTAATCCTAGATATTCTGACCTCGGTACGTGCAGTCAACTTTTAATCTATTGGCCACCAATTTCTACTAAAAGAAAATTTGATTCAAAGGAGAATCTGTGGCATTTCTATCTGTGACTTAGAAGCTGTGTGTGTGTGTGTGTGTGTGTGTGTGTGTGTGTGTGTGTGTGTGTGTGTGTGTGTGTGATGCATGTGAGTTCTGACTTCACCTGTTCTGTGTGGTCTTCTTTTACCATGGTGTTCACATGATCCAGTGAACAACTATCCAGGTTACTCAGCCAGGTAGTAAATGTATGAACACACAAAACAACACAATCGTCTGAAATGTTTAATGGGACTAGAAATAATAGGCTTTCAAGAGTTGGCATGTTAGTGGCATTTGCAGATATTGTGGGATTTCAACAGCTGGGAGAGGAGCAAAATGGACTTAATTTCCTATTTATTGCCTTCGTACTGTTTTCTTGGTAGTTTCTGGACTGATGCAGTGATGTTCTGTTCCTTCCGTATTTATAACGAAACACTTTTTTAGCGTTTCTAAACATAGAATCTACTTGGTTTGAAATCAAGTGGTTGGAACACTGTCTGGATTTGTACCTTAAGCATGCTGTTGATTGAATGCTTCATTGGGGAAGCCTCCAATCAGCTTTATCAGTCTGGTTGTGTAATGAGCACAGCACCTAATGTTTTGAACTGCTATTTGGGAGGACCAGTGCTTATTTAAGCTGGATTTTGTAACCCACTAGATTTTGTTGGTTTGAGCTCTCATTCCCTGATCTTACAGAATTACAAATTCTAATGTTGAAATTTGCAGAGATTCTCGTGGAAAAGCCTAGAAGACCAACAATAGATTGAACAGTGATCCTTGCAGGAGGGGAAGTATGGGTGCCATGATTTCTTTTCATTGGTGTTGGGCTTTGAATCAGTTGAAATGTATTTCTGTACCACAATGTAAGCTTCAATAAAAGTTTGCTTAATTGTCTAGTAACATTTAGAAAGTTTTCTGTTGTCTGGTGTCTACTTGGCCAAAAACTAGAGAAATTCAAAAATTTGAAGGTAGACATTTACAACCCTTTGTAGATTCAACTCTTAAGCTGTCGGCAGGGTGCTTCTTTATATATAATTTTTTTATTAAAGTTTGTTGGGCAAGGACTACCTCTGCTCCTGGTTTTGGGTTGGTTTTTGTTTTTGACTATGTGTCTAGTAAGCATGAAAAATGCTATGTTCTGATATTCTCATGATGGGCTTAAATTAGAAAATGCTTTTGCTGGTTTTCTGTTTGAAAAACCAGGATTAGAATCCCTTGACAACTCAGCTACTTCCAGCTGAGACAGAGGATCACTTGAGCCCTACAGGTGTTTGTGTGCCACCTCCTAAGAATAGACACCCTAAAAAAGAAAAGAAACCACGATCAATGTGATGCACAGAACTGTTTGTGTGAATTTCAGTGTTCATTGGTGAGCATAAGAGATTCCCGGGACAAATACAGTAAATGACGGCTTTTGTTCTTAGACAAGTGCGTGCTGCTGTTTGGGTTTCTGGCCCCCACTGCTCTGCTTGGGTCCCTCCCTCTTGGCTTGAGACTCTCCGTGGGTTGCTGGTGTTGCAGTCGGACTCTTGAGTTCTGGGCCTTCCTGACTTCTGGTTTTCTGTTTTCGTTTGATCTGTCAAGTGTCTTTGCTGCCTCCTGGGTGATAAGTATCTTGATTGAACTGTCTAATCCAGGGGTCAGGAGGCTGAGGAAGAATTGCCAGTAATTTTGTTGACAATTCAAAACTCCCCAAAATGTGCAGTTGTCTGGTTCTGGAGACATCGGGGATTTTGATTGACCTATGTAAAGTCATTTCTAGTGACTTTACATGGACATGTGCAAATAACTAGGAAACAGTCCTGCTGTACGTACGCCTGTGCACTGAACATGAGATGGTCCTCCAGTAAATCCCTGGCAGCCAAGCCTGAGGACTTTAATCTTCAAAGTCCACATGAAGGAGAAACAAGGCAAACCCCCAACATTTGTGCCCCTTCCTCACACGATAGACATCTCATTTGTTCTGTTGATTCTGCAGGAGGTGCTGACCACAGTGCCAAGTATAAATGCACAGAGAATAAAAATGCCTCGGGGCGGTGGTGTGTGCACGCCTTCAATCGCAGCATTGGGGAGGCAGAGGCAGGCAGACCTGAGTTCCAGATAGCTAAGACTGTCTTGAAAGGGGGGGTGGGGTGGGGAGCAGGGCAAGCGGATCTTTGTGAGTTGGAGGCCAGCCTGGTCTACAGAGCGACATCCAGGAAAAGTAGGTGCAAAGCTACACAGAGAAACCCTGTCTTGAAAAACAAAATGAATAAAAATGCCAAGTGTATAAGTCTGGCCCATTGGTGCTCAGTATTTAGAGAAAAAACAACATTGAAATGAGGTTTGGGCTGGGCTCACAGGCCTTCAGTGCCAGCAAGAGTGATACCCAGAGCAGACTGATTTAAGAGGACAGTAAGAAAATACACTTGGAGCTGGGCGGTGGTGGCGCACACCTTTAATCCCAGCACTCGGGAGGCAGAGCCAGACAGATCTCTGTGAGTTCGAGGCCAGCCTGGACTACCAAGTGAGTTCCAGGAAAAGGTGCAAAGCTACACAGAGAAACCTATCTCGAAAAACCAAAAAAAAAAAAAAAATACACTCGGTGAAAGGCAGGTCTGGAAGGTGCTAGGCTAGTTAGGTGAAAGGTTGGAGGTTGTGTGGTTACCATGAGGTAGCAATAAGTTAAATGTGATGTGACCACATTGAGCCATCATGTGACAAGTTTTTAATTCTAGTTCCCTATACAAGAACAAAAAAGGATGAACCAGACAGCTCAGGTTTGAGTCGAGCACCTGAGGTGGCTTGTAACTGCAACCCCAGCGCCAGGAGAGCCAAAAGTCTACTGTGGACTGGAGCACATGCTCAAAAAGGGACTGGAAGCAATAGGTTTCAGCCAAGGTACACAAGCATGGTTTGATGTAAGTCAGTGTTATGAGTCCTCTCGCCTTTAATCCCAGCTCTCGGGAGGCAGAAGCAGGCGGGTTTGAAGCCAGCCTGGTCTACAGAGCTATCCAGGACTACACAGAGAAACACTGTCTCCAAGAAAAAGAAAAAATTACAAATCAGTATTGGTTTCTTTTTTTTAGACAGGGTCTCACTATGTAGAATGAGTTGGCCTCTGAACTTGTGCTGGGATTCAAGGTCTGTGTCCCCACGCCCAGGTGTTAATCAGTTTTTCTGTTATTTAGCTTGCTGAGAAGGGGGGGGGGGTCCGGCAGCTGGGGGGAAATCCATTCACAATGGCTCAAAGCAACAGCAGCAACAAAAAGTTGGAGAGATAGCTCAGCAGTATAGAGCACCCATATTTCAGCCCCCAAAACCCACATGGCATCCCACAACTGTCTTTAAAATCGGTGCCAGGGAATCTTAACACCTTCCTCTGATGGGAACTGCATACATGTGGCACACATACATATGTGCAGGCAGCACATTCATATAGTTAAAGCTTTATCACTTATTTTTAATGTTTTTAGTTGAAATAGAATTTTATCACTTTCCCCCTTCTGAGCCTCCAGTGTGCCCACAGGTTAATACTTTTTCTTTGGTCCTTGTTACATGCACATATGTGTGTGTGTGTGCACAAATAATATTTAAATAAAACTGCTGGGTCCAGTTTTGTTTGTGTGTGTGATTACAAGGCTGTACACTTTGCATTGGACAAACAATATGGGGGGACTCATCCCTCAGAGAGGTGAATTCTAGCAGCCATTAGTTTCCTTTAGTTCTTTGTCTTCAGGTGAGACCCCTCAAAAAATTTCCCCCTTACTTACACATCCATTGATATTGCCATTTTTAAATGCTTGGAGCGGACTCCAGTGTTTTACACACCAGTATTCTCATAAGCTGTGGTAAGTCCTGCTCTAACTAGAGCAGATCATCAGGACGGTGGTTTTCCCAGGGTGAGGCTTATCCATTGCATGCCATGTGCTGACCCCTGCGATTCCCCCAAATTTGGGGAACTAGACTGCATAATTTGTGGTAGTGAGGGACTGACTTCATCTCCTAGTAAAACATTTTTAAAAAATGATATCCAAAACAATAGCCAGAGCTTCTAAGACTAATAGATTCAGATAAAAGTACTCTGCCAAACATTTATAGAAATTAAACATGTCAGTCTTGGTGCCTCTCATTGCAAACGGGAGTTTGGAATGGATAGTCCAGGTCAAGAGGATAGGTCGGTGGCTGGGTGTGGTGGTGAACGCCTTTAGTCCCAGCACTTGGAAGACGGGTCCCAGGAGTTTGAAAACAGCCCTGGTCTACATATAAAGATCCAGCACAGCTGGGGCTACATGGAGACACTCTAAATATACGTATGTGTGTGTAGATATATATGTGATACGTATATACATACATTATACAGATTAATCTTAAGCTGTAATTTTTTGTTATTTCCTTGTTTGGTTTTTTGGGATGGTGCTGGCTGGCTGGAACTCACTAGGTAGACCAGGCAAGCCTCAAATCACAGATCCACCTGTCTCTGCCTCTGGAGATGACGGTACCCTCCTCCGCCTGCAGCACAGACTGATAGATGACTTATTCCTGGGAGTAGGAAAGAAATGGCTCTAAGTTTACTGGAGTGAGTTGAGATTGTTGGGGTATTTGGGTGTACTAAAACGTATCGGAAACCAGGCTAAGAACTTAGCTATAAGATGAATTGCTAAACGGTCTTACTAATAAAAACCCGGAGCCAGATACTGGGGTGAAAAACTGAGAGATCTGAAATAGAACAAGCCACAGACAACCTCACCTCACTGACACCTCAGTCCCCAAAGAGACCTACTTCCTGTATACCCACGCCTATATGCTTCTGTTCTGCCATCTCACTTCCTCTCTCCGCCTCACTACATCGCTTCCTCTTTCTGCCCAGCTCTGTCACTTCCTGTCTGTCTGTACAGACCTTCAGGCCTTTATGGTTAGTGCTGGGATTAAAAATATGTGCCACCATGCCTGGTTCTGTTCCCAGTGTGGCCTTGAACTCACAGAGATCCAGACAGATCTCTGCCTCCTGAGTGATAGGATTAAAGGTGTGTGCTACCATTATCTGACTTCTATGTTTAATATAGTCGCTGGCTTTTTCCTCTGATCCTCAGATCAACTTTATAGGGTGCACAATATATTGGGAACACAATACATCACCACACTTGGCAGATACACCAAATGCTGGGAAGGTTATAACTCCCTCACCTGGCCCCCAAGAAGTGATAGACCTAATACTGTGATCGCATGGCCCTACACCAGCCTATCACCTGACACCTGGTGTTTGTGTGTGTGTGTGTGTGTGTGTGTGTGTGTGTGTGTGTGTGTGTGTGTGTGTGTGTGTGTGTGTGTGAAGGGCCCAAGACTACCACCTCAGCTGGGTCTGCCACAGTTGGCGCAGCCTCCCCAGCTGCCTGCCCATCCACCTGTTCCCCTGCTGGCAGCTTGGACAAGAAAGACTTTTCTATTCCGAACCTTGATCTTTTCAACCTGCAGCCTTGCTTTCAGACCCCAGCAGCACCAGAAGCAGCTCCCTCAGCCCTGGTCTAGATGATTTAGCAATACGGATGCTCAGCCCACTCCTGAATCCTTTTGAACTCCGATGCAGCCTCTGTAGCTTGTATTCATTCTGTAAACCATACGTATACAGACATATTTGCTGTGTAGTATGATATGAGAGTTAATACTAGTAATTAAGATTGGCATAAAAGAACCTCAGTCAGGTTATCAAGGAAGGTGGGATTATATGGCAAATATCCTTAAAAACTCTGAACTTCATGGACTTACTGTTATTCAGTAAATCCTGACATAAATTCCACGACAAACTGGAGAGACATCAATGTGTTCACATGTATTTCTAGCAGAGTACACTTGTTACAATAGCAGGTTCATGGATTCTCTTATCAGAAATACACATTGTTACTGAATGACACTATATATTT